GTTGGAGTGTTGGGCCTTCATTTTCTTCGAGCAGGTGCAGTGTTTCTGGTTTAATGCCTAGGTCTTGATTGACTTTGAGTTGAGTTTTGTGCCAAGTGAAGATAGGGATTAAATTTTATTTTACTACATATGGATTTCCAGTTTGTTTGAGTTGATTTTCATTTTGATTAATGTAAACATGCATCTGTGTTACCATCATCTAGATCAAGACATAGAACTTTCCCAGCATGTCCAGAAAGTTGTTTTGTGCCCCTTTAATAGGCAAACTGCAATTTCATCAGCTGAGTTTTGAAGAGAGATTTACTGAGAAATAACTCATGTTCCATTCACCATTCAAATTATTTAATTCAGTGGCTTTTAGTATATCTACAGATTTATGCAACCATCATCCAAATTTTAAGAATTTTCTTCACCTCAAAAGAAACCCATTATTTTCACTGTGACTTCTCCATCTGTCCTTGTTTTATCCCTAATTTTGTTCCACCCTGCTTTTTATGCCTTCCTGATCTCCTAAGATTCTGTCTTTTATCATTTCTTTTCTTGCTAGAAAACTTCTTAATTCATTATCCTAGGGTAGGTCTGCGAGTGCCAAATTCTTTTCTTTTATTTATTTATTTTATCTGGGAATATCTTGGTTTCCCCTTCTTTCCTGAAGAATGTTTTTGCTATATATAGGATATAGAATTGTGGGCCAGCTGTTCTTTCCATAGCTGAAAAATACTGTACTACTGGAACCTTTCTGGCTTCCATGATTTCAATGAGAAATCTTCCATCAGCAGATAATCTCCCCACATTAGTGTTTGTTTCTTGTTTCTTCAAGATTTTCTTATCTCTGGTTTTCATAAATTATACTATGATATGTTTAGACATATATTTATTTAAGTTTAACTATTAGCGGTTCTTTCACCTTTTGGATTCTAAAAGTTTATGTCTTTGGCCAGATTTGGATTTTTTTATCCATTATTTATTTGAATACTTTTTCAGTTTCTCTTAGTCCTCTCCTTGCAGAACTTGAATGACAGAAAAGTTAGGACTTTTCCTATAGTCTCATGGGCCCTTGAGACTCTCTTCCTTTCCCCTCTCAATCTATTTTTCTTCTATTGCTCCAACTGAGTAGGTTTTTAGTGCTCTTTCTTCTAGTTTATTAAATTCTCTTGTTATCTCCAGCTACTGTTGAAATCCATGTATTTATCATTTGGGTTATTCTGTCTTTAATTCTTCAAATTTTAATTTGATGTTTTATCTTCTATTCATCTGTCACGATTTTCTTTTTTTTTTTCTACTTTTTCTAGGCATGTCTGTAATTGCTTGTTGAAGTATTTTTATAATGCTTGGTCTAAAATGCTCATTAGGTAATTGTAACTTCTGTGTTATTCTTGTGTTAGTGCTGATTACAGCAGCCACCCATGCTATTCTGCTAACTGCCCTTGCAGCAACAAATTGAGGAGTAGATCATGGAGCAAGCACAGGGACTTCAACACATGGCCTCAAACCCAGGGCTGTGCCTACAGGGTAAGCAGACTGCTGATCACATGCCTAGCACAAGGGGAGTGGCCTGACACTCAGATGCCCTTAACATATGCCACGTAAGCAGTAATCCATGCACTTGTCTCCACAACAGAATAATTTGTTACCACATTTTCTAGCTATCTACTTGAACAAATCTTATGGTGCCTTTTAGGTCTCCTTTTCTCCCTTGCTTCTCTGGGGTTTTCTCATAAGACTGGCATCTAGCTGTGTAGTCATTCTGCAGCCGACATTAATACATGAATGCAATTATCAGTTGTACAGCTACGTGTTGTATCCTATCAAGTTATACAAGATTTGTTCATGATCTCCAGGAGCTCTGAAAGTGCATCCCCCTGTCTTTTCAAATTTTCAGCTCAGATTGTTCAAAATTTAGGCAAGAGTAAACCACCAATGCTTTGCAAAATGTCTGTTATCACAAAACACTGCTTSCAGCACTCATCATTTGCTAAAAATTTCTGCACTGCTCCAATCTCCTTCTGGATTTGGCAAATAACACTTTTCTTT